ATTAACTAACTCTCTTAATGAGTGGCCGCTTCGCTAATTCACCCACGCTGGTGATTTTATACAATATTTTTTTCCAAAAATCTCACGAAAATTCGGGTCATAATGTCAAACCTAGATATTCAGGAAATTTCTAGCCATCACATATTATGCTAAAATTCCCTCTAGCAAACAATACAAAAAGACTAAATTTATAATATCAAAACGTAGTTCGCAACATTGCCCCTCCCTGAACAATCCTAATACAGAAATAAAACAATAATATATTAAACTCAAACTTACATAGCTGGTAATAAGGGCACTATTTACAATTAACATTAATTATAATGTCTATTTTGGAATATTTATTTTTAAAAATAAATATTTCAAAATAGACATTATAATTAATAAAAATAAATATTCCAAAATATACATTATAATTAATAAAAATAAATATTCCAAAATAGACATTATAATTAATAAAAATAAATATTCCAAAATAGACATTACAATTAGCAAATCATTAAGCATACGTGTCAAACAAAGTACAATCACATTTCTGGTTAGCATAAAAAATCGTTTTCGTTATCTTTTTTACTCTCTAAGCTGTCCAGTCATCAAATCCTTTTGGTGTTTTCTTCTTCATGACTTAAATACCTCTTGTCCTTTATCTTCACTTGGGGAGTAAATTGTCAAGTGAAGTCACTGGTGGCCGTAATCCTGTTGATACTCTAGAACTAGTTTCGACAGGTACCTTAGGCTTTCCAGCAAGTTGACTTATCTCTGGCGGAGCCTTCGCCGAAGTTAGGCATTTGGCTGTTATTCTGTCAACGTCCTTCTATGGATCACAATAGATGACTTCCGGCTTGGACAACCTATTCTTGCGGATTTTGTTATTTTGCACTCCACGTCGGCTGTCTTCATTAACCTGTACGCCTATCTTTATGGCTACTTGAATTCAATATCTGGTGGTGTAATTGTCGTATAGTGCATTACGGTGTAATTGTTATATAGTGCATTACGGTGTAATTGTTATATAGTGCATTACGGTGTAATTGTTATATAGTGCATTACGGTGTAATTGTTATATAGTGCATTACGATTTTCCGGTCATACACTATGAATTTGTTTGAAGCAAGTCTATACTCACATCCATGTCTCTCACAGGAAGACAGTTCTCTATATGCAGTCTTCCTCAATGTCAATTATCTATACATCCATGTAAGAAAATTTACCATGGTGAGAGTGGTATCCAATTTTTCGGTCGCTGGAATTTTATACCACTTGCTGTTCGCGTCAATCCATCTTTTACTTCATCTCTAGAAGAAACTTACCACCTTTCCTTACTAAATCGGGTTGGACAATAATAGCTGTAGAACCAATGTTGCAATATTGCAGGGCTTCCTATCAATAAAACCGTTGACTAATGAACTGGCTTATTTAAATGATACAATGCTTATTGCTATTTGAATAGATGGAGTATTCTCCTCCTCAAAAATATCGGCTACTTGGTCCAATGTCAATGATTGATTTATCACAGTTCGGATGTAATGTCTAAGTTTTCTTTGGGTATAAAAATTTCCCTTTCTGATATCAATCGGATGCAGTTCTAACAATATGTTCTTTTAAGTTACAATTGAAAAACCCTCTGTCCTATGGTTTACTTTCTTCATCCTGATTAAATAATTCCCCAATTCATCCTTTGATTTCTTCTAGACTTCCATCACAAGTAGATGATGCTTCTACACTTCGTGTTTCTATAACCCCTCAATTATGCTTTTAGGTGTTTATCTGCAACTTTAATTGATTCATATTCCATACGTCAACTGTATAGTTTTCTCTAAAAGTTTGCATCTACTTTTCTAAATCTAATTTACATGCCTGTATCTAATATGGCATCTATGGATTGGTCATATACTAACAAATCCATCATTTCACATGAAGCACCAGGGTAAGACAACTAGGTAAGTTTTTTATACCTTAGAATCTATGGATTGGTCATATACTAACAAATCCATCATTTCACATGAAGCACCAGGGTAAGACAATTGCTAAGTTTTTTATACCTTGGAATCTATGGATTGGTCATATACAAACAAATCCATCATTTCACGTGAAGCACCAGGGTAAGACAACTAGGTAAGTTTTTTATACCTTGGCATCTATGGATTGGTCATATACTAACAAATCCATCATTTCACATGAAGCACCAGGGTAAGACAACTAGGTAAGTTTTTATACCTTGGCATCTATAGATAGGTCATATACAAACAAATCCATCATTTCACGTGAAGCACCAGGGTAAGACAACTAGGTAAGGTTTTTTATACCTTCCGCAAGTTTAGTCGAACTTCCGTCCTATTTCGTTACTCTGCTCCTAAACTTTGTCTTGGAAACTTCATTCTAATGAGCTACTCCGAACTTGTTGTACGAGGCAGCCACCAATGCTTGATAACTGTCAAGTGAGGGGCTCGACATGGCCAGGTGGCTAGAGCGCTTGACTCCTAATCTGAGGGTCGCGGGTTTGAATCTCCGTTCTATTCAGCGGTGGGGAAATTATAAGTGACGGTCAATCCCACTATTCGTTGGTAAAAGAATAGCCCAAGAGTTAGCGGGGAGGGTGACGACTAGCTGCCTTCCCTCTTTCACTACTAAATTAGGAACGGCTAGCGCAGATAGCCCTCGTGTAGCTTTGCGCAAAATTCAAAACAAACAAATTCTCAGTTGAGAGATTGCCTAATGTTGTTAATTTGGTCACTTTAAATGGGCAGCAACATAAAAGACTTATTGTTCACTATCCCATCTGTTCTCTTTAAAAAATAATTTAATCTGGTCATGGTATACCTCCTTTGGTATCTTTTTGTCATCGTCTGTTGGTTTCTCAATTGGGCAATACTATGGAACCGCCCTGCTAAGTTTTGTGATTTGATGATTGTTTGTTAAAAATCATAAAGCTATACAATAGCGGGGCCGTAGGAAGCGGTAGGGTAAAATTTCTTATTTCAATTCAATACACTACGTTGTGTGTCTTCAGTATTTGTAGTTAAATTGTCTCAATATTCAATCTAATAGCATTAAATTTTCAAAACATTTCTTGAAGCCAGACCCCCTAGAAATGCCAATGTGGCAATGACCTGAACACTCCAAAATTGCTCCCTACGGCAATGAATAGGCTATCTGTACTGTGCAGAGTGAACATATAAAACCGACTTTTAGCGTTCTAAGCCCTCAAACTTATCGCTGAGCCACCGAAAGAGGGCTTGGCTTGATGAGGTAGTGATACAACTGGAGTAGTCCAGCCGGGAAGATTCTACAGTCATGGGTAGCATAATAGTAGCAATGCCTGGAGTAGTCCAGCCGGGAAGATTCTACAGTCATGGGTAGCATAATAGTAGCAATGCCTGGAGTAGTCCAGCCGGGAAGATTCTACAGTCATGGGTAGCATAATGGTAACAATGCCTGGAGTAGATCAGCCAGGAAGATTCCACAGTCATAAGTAGCATAATAATAACAGTGCCTGGTTTAGATCATCCGGGAAGATTCTACAGTCATAGGTAGCATAATAGTAACAGTGCCTGGTTTAGATCATCCGGGAAGATTCTACAGTCATAGGTAGCATAATAGTAACAGTGCCTGGAGTAGTCCAGCCGGGAAGATTCTACAGTCATAGGTAACATAATAGCAACAGTGCCTGGTGTAGACCAGATGGATTTTCTTTTTCTAAATTCCGTATTTAATCGGATTTGGGGTTGAAATTCTCAGGCAGGTGTAATTGGACAAATGGCTTATTTGATCCTTATATTTACAAATTAATTTTCCAGATGTTTTATCCTGTTATTGATGTTCTCGTTGATATCTTCTTGTACTTCTTCAGGTTTGTTATTATAACATTTACCAACGCTTTCCGAAGTATGAGTGTGACCCTTAGGTACATACCTCTGCTTTCTTATAGTCAACAGCACTTACTACCAAAAATCTTGGGCTACTCTATTTGACCGAATAGTGTGATTTGAGCGTCATTCTTATTGTACACCCATGGCTCTAAAGTACGGACCGCATTTTTAGGCAACGGAAACCATCAGGCCATGCTATATTATAATATTTAAAGAAAGGTAAAATAGCAAAAGCTACAAAAAAGCATTGCTTGACTTATTAATTGAAAGCTGACAGTTTAACTTCTAGTTAACAAGAGTCTCAGCTCGAGTTATAGCTTTGCAAATTATTTTATCTAAAAGTGAGTGTGCACAAATAATATAGAAATTAATGCAGACAACTGGAAGATTTTGTGCTTATATTTTTAAAAACATACCGTGAAATATTTCTGTTTATATAATCCTTATTATTTTTCTGCTTGGAGTAGTGAAATGTTTTATTCGAATTGTTTTCTATTTTTACAAAAAAAATAGTTTGTTTATAATTAAGCACAAAGATACACTCTGGACTATTTGTGCTCACTACACGTATCGAAACCCGATTTCTAGCGTTAAAAGTCTGCAGACGTACCACTGGAGGCCACTGGTACGTAAAGTCCATTGAGAGGTTATTAGTAGTTATTCTTCATGGCTAGCGTCTGAAGTCGTATTATCTGTGTTTATACATTAGTTTCCACTGGTAACACAGTACAACCTAATTATAAATTATAAATAAAACTAAATTTTATATTTTATATCAATTTTCGGTCTTGTACGCTGCCATCTATTGGGAAACCAGATTCGTTATCGTTAAATGTCAGTTATTCTAAACCGGGAATGTGTGTTTTATTTGCAAACACCCTTATCTCTGGTGTTATTTGATCTGGAAAACAGGTTTGAACAATAGTATCAACACTTTCAAGAGATATAGAGCAAAAAAAAAGAAAAAAAAGGTGGAGTGTAAAATAACAAATTTGGAAATTTAATCATATTTGCTGATTTAAATAAGTAAAAAATAAATAAACGGATTAGTGAACAGTACTTTCGCAATTTATACAAGCTTCAAGAATCAATAAAAAATGTGCAATTATTATTTTCGTTCTTTTTTCTCAGATCGTTGGTATTTGAAGCCTGAATAATACCGTATGGGCTAAACGGCTAGGTCAAAGACTTCAAGATTCAAACTTGTAAATGTTTGTGAATTTCATCTGCTGACCAGAGGAAATATATCGAATCAGCAACACCCGCCGCCTCCGACATGACTACTGGATTGACTGTAAATTTTAAACCACACTTAAGTGCAGAGTGTGTTCAGAAACATATCAAGGTTTGAACCGTGGGCCGTTTCCGTAGTCAGGTACGTTAACCACTACAGTCCTTGCCTGGCTATTTTTAGTTCTCGGGTTAAAACAAAATGAAAAATATTGGACGTAGTTGGTATATAGAGATGCTAGTTTTTCTAATAAGGCAAGATGATAACAATTTTTAATCTTTGTCTCCAAATTAAAGGAATACAAAGAGATAGTTTAACACCTAAATTTAAGGTTAAATGTATGGACTGATAAACACACAAACTAATATACAGTGTTAAAAAAAAGACAATACAGTAGACAAATATATGTAGAGGAGGTAAAGGATTAAATGGACAGACAGGAAGACTAGACGGACAGGAACAGACTGACGGCAGAAAAATTATTTATGGTTAAACAGGTTATCGGGGAGGCTGACAAGTAAAAACAGTCTACGATATTGAGATGTTAACATTCAGTTTGTTTTATGTTCTATTGTAGTTTACTTACGTCGTCGCCGATCCAGTTCGCTTCAATCTGGTTTAAACCGCTTTAAACGTTTTGTTCCTTTGTGTTTCCGATATCGAACGTAGTTGCGCCTTTTGAATAAGAAGACGAGTAAAAGAAAATAAATCGTACCACATAAGTTAGTAGCAATCAATAATAATAATAACTAATTCATAGGAGTAAAAGAAAATAAATCGTACCACATAAGTTAGTAGCAATCAATAATAATAATAACTAATTCATAGGAGTAAAAGAAAATAAATCGTACCACATAAGTTAGTAGCAATCAATAATAATAAATGAATTAGTTATTATTATTGATTGCTACTAACTTATGCGGTACGAATTATTTTCTTTTACTCGTATGAAGTAGTTATTATTATTGATTGCTACTAACTTATGTGGTACGATTTATTTTCTTTTACTCCTATGAATTAGTTAACGAGTAAAAGAAAATAAATCGTACCACATAAGTTAGTAGCAATCAATGATAATAACTAATTCATAGGAGTAAAAGAAATAAATCGTACCACATAAGTTAGTAGCAATCAATAATAATAACTACTTCATACGAGTAAAAGAAAATATTCGTACCGCATAAGTTAGTAGCAATCAAT